ATTAATTACGCTCACTTCCGCTTTCTGAATAAATTAATTTAGAGATTGTGCTAGTCAGTAGAATTTTGTTGTCTTTTTTAACAATTATAAAAACGCTTAAATAGTTGTTAACTGTTTCGACATCTAGTATTAAATTGAGTGAATGATAAAATGGGCTTTTTTGCTATAAGACTCTTGTATGCATTCAAATTTTAATTACGGTAGAATGGTGTCAATTGAATATTCCAAGGCTTTACTGCAAGTGCTTGAAGTGAACTTAGCTTATAGTTGTTAAAAAAATTGATTTTGTTTTGGGTGAAAAGCAAAAGGAAAAGGAAGATTGGATAATGTTCTCTGAAGGGAATACGAGTTGTCAAAGTGGTCACTTGTGGATTGTTTTTGATTAGTAACAGAAAAAAAATTGCTGTAGGATTTTCACGTGTTGGGCCTCTAAACAAAGGCTGATTATATTAAACTCTTCTAACAGTTTGAATAAAGAATAGCTAAGAGAGATTTGCAGGGGAATATTTAGCATCTATTCGACTAGCGTGCTTTCATAACGACAGTACAGTATTTGGTTACAATGAGGATCAGACAAAGAAATTGGAATTTTCAGGTAAACAAAAAATTTTTAGCTAAAAAATAAAGTTTCACATTGAAAATGTTCATATATGTATAAGGCGCTTTTGTTTTACAGTTGCACAGACTGAAGAGAACAACTGCTTACAGCAGAACTTAATAAATGCTTATCGACGTTATGGTTACTTAGCTGCTGATCTCGATCCATTAGGTTTGAAAAAACCTCTCAAGTATGTTTTTTCTTCTTCTCTACAGTTATGTTAAATAACATTTTTTGGTTTGATTAATGAAAATTTTTTGCTGATTATAATTCTTGTATAAGCTTCTTCTTGTACTATTTTTTGAATACGGATTCTAAGTTTGGTTTAAATTTTATCGTGTCTAGACAAAATTATTTTTTTAGAGTGCCTGAACTGGCACCTGAAATGTACGGTTTGGATAACGAAACTGTGGTAAAAACTGATAATAAGGAAGTGAAAGTTTTTGATTTAGTTGAGCATTTAAAGAGATTATACTGCGGACCGATAACTGCCGAATTTATGCATTTAATTGTACGGTATATTAACACTTTTTAAATTTACTCAAGCTGTTGAAAAGAACTTGAATATTGTTTATTAAATGTGGTTTAATAGTAATGTGGTATTGGTTGTTTTCTTTTTTTTTTTTGTTCAAAATAACACTCAATGATGTGCTTTTATAATAATAAAAGTAATATTCGGAGTGCTTTAGGATACTGAAGAACGTCACTGGTTTGCTTCTAACTATGAGAAACTGCAGCAGGTAACATACACAACGGAGCAGAAAAGAAAATTTGCAGACTTGATGTTACGTTGTCAGGTTACAACTGCTTCACCGTACCAGTTTTTTCAATTTAAATTGTACACATCTGGAGATATCTACTTGTAACTATTGCAGAATTTCGATCATTTTTTGGCTTTGAAATTTCCAACCACTAAGCGTTACGGTGGTGAGGGGGCAGAAGCTATGCTGGTCTTTCTAAGTGAGTTGTTTGACAGGGCACCGATCTTTGGTATTGAAGACATCATTTTATGTATTGCGCATCGCGGACGTCTTAATCTTCTTGTTGAACTTATGAAATTTCCAGTTGTTCAAATGTTCAGGAAGGTAGCCAATGTGTTTCTACATTTCTAAAGAGAAAAAGTTTTTTAACTTCCATTTTTAAATTATAGCCGAGTGTCATCTGTTTTTTTTGATTCAGATGCGTGGACTAATCGAATTCCCAGAAAGTGTTCAAGGGAGTGGCGATGTTTTAATGCATTTAAGTACGTTTTTGTTTCTAACCACAGAAGGTGAAAGAAGAATTGTTTCAAGAGTACATAATAAAAAACCAGCACTGAGTACCATTAAGTACCTACTGTTGATGACGCAGCTTTGATCTCAATTTTGCCTTAAAGACATGGAAAAACGTGTCTTTATGGGTCTGGTTGTGTCCAAGCAAATTTCAAACAATAGGTTGAAAAAACAGTGGAAGTTTCAATTTTCAAAAATTTTGAGATATTACTGAAGAGTACTGCTTTGGCAAGAAGAAATTTTGAAACGACTTTATCAAATAACGTATTTTCAGCATCATCCTTCGACCATGAAGCGAACGGAGGGAAAGTGCATATTTCGATGCTTCCAAATCCATCACATCTGGAAGCTATTAATCCTGCTGCTGTTGGGCGCTCTCGAGCAAAAGCAGCAAGTAAGCGAATTGGGGATTATGGTGGTCAACAAAGTAGGAGTGGTGACGGTGTTTTATGCGTTCAGATTCACGGTGATGGCGCATTTACCGGGCAGGTATACTTGCCGATATCTTTTTGGTTAGATATAAATCTTGTTATAAGTTGAAAATGAATAGTACATTTACAGGGTGTGATATGGGAAACAGCATCGTTGTCTCAGACGCCTCACTTCAGGATCGGAGGCAGTATTCACTTTGTTACTAACAACCAAATAGCTTATACTGCTGAAGCTCATATTGGCAGGTCAAGTGTTAACTGCACAGATTTGGCAAAGGCCATTGATTCTCCAGTTATTCATGTGAATGGAAACTATCCAGAAGTACTTTTATTTTGCATCACTTTACTGTATATGGCAACGAGCTTTTTCAGAATTTAATTCTGAAAAACCAATATTACAGGAGGTGGCAAAGGCAGCGCAGCTAGCTCTAGATTATAGGGACAAATTTAGAAAAGATATCTTTATTAATTACCTTTGTTATCGGCGTTGGGGACACAATGAGATGGACGATCCTCGTTTTACACAGCCAGTTATGTACAAGTGAGCATCCTCTAAAACTTTTCTAGACGTCTAAATGTATGTCGTTTACTATTTCTTCTCGGATTTTTGTATTCTTCACCAATCTGAAATTGGAGGGTGATCGATAACAGAAAATCAGTGCCTGACCAGTATGCAGATGCTTTAATAGAGCAAAATATTATGAAACAGGATGAAAGGGAGAATATCCTTAAACAGCAAAGCGATCGTTTAACGAATGAATTTCGTGCAGTGAACAGTGCGCTACCCGAGTGAGAATTTATTAGTAAAGTATTGGAGAAAGTCATTTGTAGTTGTTATTAGTTTTTCAAGATTGATCAGGATAAAACAGAGGGAATAGATAAAATGACTTTTTTGCTGGTTTTTAAGACTAGTAAAATAAATTCACAGACAAAGGAATTGTTTTTAGGGCAAAACATTTGAAAGGCCGTTGGACTGGAATGATTCAGGCACCTCATAGCCTTGAAACTTGGGATACTGGCGTTAGCAGAGATTTACTGCGTTACATTGGAGCGAAATCTGTTACTCTACCGAAAAACTTCGTAAGTTTATCGTTTCTAATCAAAGTTTCTTAATTTTTATTTTTACTGTTGTTTAATAATTAAATCTGAAAGCTTTCTTACTGTATAAAGCGCAAAAATCAGGTGGTCAACAGTCACTTACAAAAAATGCATGTCGAAGCTCGCCTTAAAAAAATGGAAAGTGGTTCAAATATTGAGTGGGGTACTGCTGAAGCGTTGGCATTTGGATCGCTGCTTTTACAAGGTTTATTAGGTTTAGAGGACTTATAATTGTGCTGTTGCACTTTCTCGGAGCCTTTCCAGTTTAGGTTACGACATAAGAATTAGTGGTGAAGACGTTGGCCGTGGAACATTTTCTCAACGCCATGTCGTTCTTGTTGATCAGGATACAGATCTCGCTAACATTCCGTTAAATAACCTCGTACCAAATCAAAAAAATTTCTTAGAAGTAAGTGGGAGTGATATGGATCGACCTTTT